TCATTGGTTAAATATACAAGAAAACATTTACAGGATTTGAACAGATTTATCCTTTTTGACCCAGTGTTATCATTATATAAAATAATTCTAGTGGATATTTTTCAAGTGGAATATAATGCGATGACTTCCGAATCGCGCAGCCGATATCTCATAAGTTTAGTGATTTTTCTACCTAGCCTTTACTATATCACATTGATTGGAGAAAATAAATACAAACATTTGAAAAAATACATTGCAACAATTCAATTTCTATGAAGAATATATTGAAACAACCTTTCCAAATATATGAACATTGACATGAACATGCGGCAACAATGTTAAGCGGACAGAAATAGTTATAAAATATCAGTGAAATGTGTTCTATTTCTGCGATCCGAGTATGACGCGACATTTCCCAGGCATCAATTTTAAGGCATCAATGACGTCATTGATACATAACAATGGCGGCATCCGTAGCGATCCAGATATGGGTACTTTGAACTTAAATTATATGTTAGTTCAAACACGATATGTCCCATGAGTGAGCTGAAGTGATAGATGATGGTTATAAGTAGCCAGCGTGTAAATTAGAACATGAAACTTCGCATTCCCTTTAAGCTAAACTCAGTCTATATTTCATATTTTTTACTTCAAAAAAATCTTTTTTCCCATTGACTTAACATGGGCACCAAATTTAGCGATTTTTGAGTTTGCAAAACGCCATAACTTCCGAACCGGAAGTCAGATCCAAATTTCGTTTTCAGATTCGGAATCCTGAGAAAATTTCCTATAAGACTAATATCCTGGACATTTGATTCGGAGAACTTTTTTTTGGACCTCGTTTTCGGACACTGATATCTCGAAATCGGTTTGAGATATCAAAAAACTAAATCGACCCTAGGTTTTCTACTTTTTTATAAGGAGCACAATGAAAAAAACCCGGATCGAAAATATTGAAGGACGACCGAGAAAATCGAAAAAAGTGACAAAGTACTGGATTTGACCTAGTTCTTGACCCTTGACCTAGATAAAAATTTGACCCAATTTCCGAGGAACTAGATTCTGGACCTAAATTGACCAAATGACTGACTTTACTGAAAATTTTATGGTTATTGAGAAAACTGGTTTAGAATAATAATAATAAGAAGAAGAAGAAGAATAAGAAAACTGACGAGAACAATAGACTCCAGATTTTCAATCTGGAGTCTAATAAGAAGAATAAGAAGAACTAGACTTTTGAAGATTGCAAGCAATCTCACGGAGGCCCTCTTAGGCATTTTTGACAATTTGAAGGTCAACTAAAGGACAAATATCAAATCTGAGGTCAGATGTGAACTCTTGAGAACTTGTAGATGATTTTCAAAAAAAGATTTTGTCAATTTGAAGCGCGTTTAAATTTGACCTTGAAAAATTTCGAAATTGACCTTTTTTCAACTTTTGAACTCTTATATCACAAACTGGGACAAAATTCTATTAGATAGTCAATTGCTTATATGTGTAGAACCCTTAGAGGAATGTGTATATTTTGACTTCGGGTTAAAAATATTGGTTTGTAGTCTTGAACTTTGCGAAACTTAGATAGCACAGTTTGTGATCTAATTTCATGATCTTGACCTTTGACCTTGAAAAGTTTCACCTTTTTAGACCACAGTAGGTCTTTTTTAATTAGGCTGACCTAAATTTGAATCCAAAGACTCAATTTGACAAATCAACTTTTCTTACCTTTCGAAGGTCATTTAAGGTCAACTAAAGGTCAAAGGTCAAATATGAGGTCAGATTCGGACTCCTGGGAATTTGTAGATGATTTTTAAAAAAAAATTTGGTCAGATTGAAGCAAGTTGAAAAATGACCTTTTTTGACCGTTTTTCGACGTCAAATATCTCAAAAACGGTAAAAATTCAATGCTGACATATAGTGAACAATTTGTAGAAAATACTAAAATGTAGTTTCAGTTTAATTCATCGCAAGAAATAATGAAGTATAAGGACAAAGTTGAGAAACTTGAAAAAAATTTAGATTTGACCTAGATTTTGACCTAATTTGATAACCGTGACCCTTGACCTTGAAAATTTTTCTGTTTTAGAGCTCAGTGGGTCTTTTATGATTAGGCTTACCCTAAATTTGAATCCAAAAACTCAATTTGAAAAATCAACTTTTCTGACATCTTGAAGGTCACTGAAGGTCAACTAAAGGTCAAATGTCAAATCTGAGGTTAAATATGAACTCCTGAGATATTGTAGATAATTTTTAAAAAAAAGTTGTGTGAATTTGAAGCAAGTTAAAATTTGACCTTATAAACTTTAAAAAATTGACCTTTTTCAGTTTTTGAGCTCTTATATCTCAAAACTGGGACAAAATTTTAATAAATAGTCAATGACTAATATGTGTAGAACCCTCAGAGGAATGTACATCTTGACTTTCAATTAAAAATATTGATTTGTAGTCTTGAACTATGAGAAACTTAGATAGCACAGCTTGTGACCTCATTTGATGACCTTGACCTTTGACCTTGAAATTTTTACGTTTTTAGACCTCAGTAGGCTTTTTCTAATTAGACTGACCTAAATTTGAATCCAAAGACTCAATTTGAAAAATCAACTTTTCTGACCTTTCGGAGGTCACTGAAGGTCAACTAAAGATCTAATGTCAAATCTGAAGTCAGATTTGGACTCCTGGGAACTTGAAGATGATTTTTAAAAAAAAAATTGGTCAGATTGAAGCAAGTTGAAAAATGACCTCTTTTGACCGTTTTTTGACGTCAAATATCTCAAAAACGGTAAAAATTTAATGCTGACATATAGTGAACAATTTGTAGAGAATACTTAAATGTAGTTTCAGTTTAATTCATCGCAAGAAATAATGAAGTATAATGACAAACTTGAGAAACTTGAAAAAAAGCTTAGATTTGACCTAGATTTTGACCTTTGACCTTGACCTAGATAAAAAATATTTTCCCCCCAATTTCAGCCAAGGTACCTTGTAGGATCATATAGTAGGTAGTTGAAAGCTAGTTGGAAGTAGGAGAAAAATGCTTTGATAGAATAAGAAGAAGAATAAAGAAAAGCTACAAAAGCTATAGGAGGCCCTTTCAGGAGGGCCTCCTAATAAAGAAAAGCTACAAAAGCTATAGGAGGCCCTTTCAGGAGGGCCTCCTAATAAAGAAAAAGCTACAAAAGCTATAGGAGGCCCTTTCAGGAGGGCCTCCTAATAATAATAATAATATCTATAAAATTAATAGGAGGCCCCCCGTTGGGGCCTCCTAATAAAGAAGAAGAAGAATAATACTGACAAAAGTAATAGACTCCAGATTTTCAATCTGGAGTCTAATAATAAAGAATAATAATAATATCTACAAAATTGATAGGAGGCCCCCCGATGGGGCCTCCTAATAATTATCATTAGCAGATGACATTGATTTTATCACTAATAGCGATGAATTTGATAATGCAGTACAATCACCTTTGGTTAAGGCTAGATCAAAGACTTATCTGTTCCTCAGAGTGTATATGATGCTTTTTAAAAGGCAAAATCAAACAATCTAAAAGCATATGTAAACACCTACACAACAACAACAAGGCCTTTAAAAAGAAGTACAACTCTTAAAAAGTAATTCAAAATCAATTAGGTTACTGTATGATATGATTACTGTTTTACTCCTATATTACTGCATGCAAATCATAATACTACATAAAGTTAAGAAGTATTATCCTTATCCATTTATTGTGTAACTTTTATAAGTTCACATACAGTATAGTTGGGAGAGCACTTCATAACAAAAACTCCAGCTAAACTAGGCTAAGTCACTCAAAACTTGGAAAATGGAAAACCTTGTATCTGAGATGTATTTGGTGTACAGCAACAATTGAACATGATTTAAGATATATGATACCAGTACATATTACACGCGTGTAGCGCCTGTTACACACAGTACGCCCTTACGTACCAAATGAATTTGAACAAAATTAAAAATGTGTTAAAATGCATAAATTTGTTTGCATGTTTATTGATAATTCTGTATTTGAATATTTAACCCGATTAGTTTCATCAGAATAGAACTATTTAAGTTGATAAAAACGCTCAGATTGCATCAAATAACGCCTTCCCAGGAGAGCATACCTCCGAACCTCCCAGAATGTGCGTCCTTCGGCCATGCAATCAGACAAGTGGGCGTACCTTACTTCCTGCGAAAGCTATTTGGATTTTGATATAATAGCTTTCCCACGGAGCATTTGGACAGCTCAATGATCGTGACCTTTGAAATCGAATTAAGTCGATCCGCGGCTTACTTTTGGTCTCTAACTGTGTCTTACATCAGTATCATCAATCCGTGTAAGTATTGGAGCGCTGGAGTACTTCTTTTTCGATCAAGACTTGTAATTGTTAGTCGAGTGAATCGTTTTACTGCCAAATTCCAATATGGCTGTTTCTGCTCGGACATTTTCGTAAATCTCCGGAGGTTGTCCGAACCTAACTAATTCTCAAAATTCATTTCGTTTGTTGCGTATCTCGCACCTAGCAAACCGCCATATTGGAAATAGGTCTGTAAAACTTTAACTCGATGAATAATTTACAAGTCTTGATCGAAAAAGAAGTACTCCAGCGCTCCAATACTTACACGGATTGATGATACTGATGTAAGACACAGTTAGAGACCTAAAGTAAGCCGCGGATCGACTTAATTCAATTTCAAAGGTCACTATTGATCAGCTGTTCACTTCTCCGTTTGAGAGCCATAAGTTTCAAAATCTAACATGGCTCTCGAAGTGAGTAAGGCGTACCAACTGGATTTGCTGAAGTGAGGATTTCCCATGTTAAAAAGAAGAAAATATTTTCAAGAGGCCATGTGGATAAGAGTATACAAAATGTAAAATATACAAAACTAAGGAATGTGTATCTAGATATTATTGGAAAGTATGAAGTCTCAAATCACCATGGTCTGGAAATGGTAATTCAAAATTGTCAAATTATTTATGGTGAGCCCTTGAGAGCACCAAAATGAAAGTGCTTCTAAGCAAACTTACCCTTAATCCAAGAGCTTGTAGCATGAGCAGTTTTTCGTCTTCACTTGGTCCAATGTGTCTCTCTGAGAAATCATTATGTCTTGGATATAGTCTATCGAAAGCTGATGAGGATAAATATCTGTTTATTTTGATTTGCGATCCAAAATTTTGATTTTTGCAGAATTCTCCTGAAATGTTTTTCCAAGGAAGAACTCGAATTTTTTCTGCAATTCGTAGCATTTTTCTGTTTTTCTTTTGCTATTATTTGATGACCACGCACTTATTACACAGACTCGTATGATTTATACGATCTCTAGAGTCATTTTAGTGAGGTAAACTGTAAGAACAACTTGCTGGCTCTGGCTCCACAGTACAAATGCCCCTGAAGTACACAGCTGATGAAGATACAATACATTGTCACGTGGGAAAACTATTGACCAATCAAAATGAGTATTTGAGCCGAGCCCATTTTTATAAATCAATAAATGGCAAACTTCTGTAGAAGTGAAATCTTAACTCAAATGCTCTCGTTGGTTTTAGATTAAGACTACAGGTGAAGGACTACAGCAAAAATGATGTTTGTAGATTTATTTTTTAAACAATCCTTAGTCTAGATAAAACAAAAGTAAAGTTATAGCAGTTGCATGCATTCTCAGAAACGACATGCAATCTCCTTCGGCCTCTATAGATAGAGGCGACATCTTTGAATGCTTATATGAAATTTATCAATTCATCAGTTGATCCCCGAGTTGATCCCAGTTCATAACCTGTCAATGCAGTGGCGTAGCCCCGGGGGCGTAGCCAGCAATTGGTGACCAGGGGTTCGATTTTTATGTATCCACAAATCTCCCCCTTCATCGGTGTACCTCACATAAAAGCATTTTTTGTATTTGTCATACATACAATTTACACCCCTCGAAAAGTTTGGCAACAATTTGATTTTCTATATTGAAATAGTTTTTGGTGAATCTTTTACTGAAAAGATATTGAAATCTGGAAGCAAAATCATACATTTTAATATAACACTTGTTTAATTGTTCAATGAAATACAAATCAAGGGTTAGCATACATTGAGCCAACTTTTGTTAAGGGCAAATTATAACATTATCTCTAAGGAACATATTTTTAACGAGCTATCATTGAAAATTCATCATTCAATTCAATCTTTAGAGTTCATTCAAAGATATGTCAAATTCTGACACACTTTTAAATACTCATTCGAAATTATAAATCTATACTTATTTGATATAAGTAATCCTCCTTATGCCTTTGCTTTCCTCAGCAAAAGATGACTGCATCTGGCTTTTTTATTGGACAGAACTCTCCACTGCACGTAATGTGTGTACCTTTTTAGCTTACACTTGTATCTACCAGAGACATTCTCACCTAAATGCCTCCCTTTATCCATTTATTTCCTTAACATATATAATTAATGACATTAACACGATCCACTAAAGTTTGATATTCTTGAAAATAGAGCGTATATTACAGGGTGGTCCAAAAATTGGAACATTTGAAAATCGCTATTCTTCCTCTAAAATGCACGAACATTTTACTGAATATTGTTCAGTCACTTATATATCTGATGTGAGGTTCATAGGTGCAAACAACAAAGTCAATGCATTAAACTAGACAATGTTTGATATTACCCCTCTTCTCTTGAATTACAAGTTCAAGCCTGGGACTCAGTTTTGAATTGTTCATTCAGTTTGCTGTTTGTTTGTTTGTTTGTTTGTTCGTTTGTTTGTTTGTTTTTTGTCCAAGCAATCTTAATTGAAAAATTCAGCTTGACCAAACTTAATCTTGTATGTTTGCCTTGGAAGATCAAATCTACTTAGGTGGGTCAAAAAGTTTTGCAGTTGATGCCATAACTTCAAGGAAAATAGACTTTTACAATGAAACTTGGTACACATATGTGTTATACATTTATACATTATATGTTAAAATTTGGGACCTCAATTTCGATTGGTTCTTGAGATATGGTTGCTATGGTAAACAGAGTGGTGGGTACCATGTTCAACCCGAAATTACGTTTTCCAAATAGTTTTCTTGCTTGAATAAACTCTTTTTAAAGTGGCAATTAGCAGGTGTAAGTGTCTTTGGGTGGCTATTTTTCTTCAAATTCAAAGGACAGACATATTTCATTAGAGGAAATAAGTGATTTACTGGATATATCTAAGGGGTCCTGCCATACAATTGTCACAAAAATCTTGAAAAAGCGGTATGTTGCAGCAAAGTGGGTTCCAAAGTTCCTCACAGTGGAGCAAAGGGAAGCGTGTCTTGCAGCATCTAGGCAATTTCTGGATACGTTTTGGCATCATTTCCAAATCCTCCCTGAACCAGTTCATAAGTCTCTTGCAAAGTCTTGCCATTTTGAACCATGCACTGTATCAGATTTCTATGCTTCCATTTCATCAATTTGGTTGGTGTGGAAACATCTGCCATTTTGAAAATTTTGGAAAAAAAATTCAAAATTTCCTCACTTTTCCATCTCAATTTTTCAACTGGGTTTTGGACAGTATACATCACAAAAGAAATTATCGTGTCACTTGTCTATTGTGATGTCATAGACACAATTAGAAAAATTGAAGAATTTGAAGAAAAATAGCCAGTTTCATTGTAAAAGTCCTATTTTCCTTGAAGTTATGGCATCAACTGCAAAACTTTTTGACCCACCTAAGTAGTAACATATTCAACCTTTTTTCACTTAAATTGTTGAGTTTCAAGCATATTTTGATAGCTATTGTTGGGTGTATTACTGATTGAATATTCTCAAGAAAGAGACCCAGGGCAGTCCGTTTTGACTGGTAAATGAAGCCCCATCCCCTTTCTTGTTCTAATTTAAATAATATTCATTGAATATATCATATGTATATCAATATCATAAAGGGGTCTCCCGGCCAGAACACAAATGATATATTATATATGCTTAATCATTTAATCATTAATCATTCTGATACTCTGATGACTCTAATGAGGAATTTGTATTGGCTTTGTATAAAAATCTCATATCTCATACCCGCCTACCCACCTACGTGGAACATGATACAGTCATTGAAGGGTTCAATATTAAAGATTATTAAATCTCAAAATAGCTCAAATTATTTATTATTTATTTTATGACTAGACAGATGACAGATCCATAAATAAAGGCATATGGATGCATTTTAGAATGTAATGACCCGAGGGCGCCCCGGGGGAATAAATAACTAACGACCGCGAACATAGGTCCAACAAGCCAGATAAAGAAATGAAAGAAAGTGTGCTAAATTCCATGCCCCGAGTGGGAATCGAATCCAGCTGGGATGTAGTAGCAACTTGCTATAAACATGTATAAAGGGTCGTTACAAATGCATCTATAATTCATCATAAACTAAGATTTATAAATTAATAAACTAAGATCTTTAAAAAGTTGAACCCTTCAAAGACTGCATCATGTCCCACGTACGTGGGTAGGTGGGTATGAGGTAGGAGGTTTTTATACAAAGTCCAAATGATAGTTAAGAGAGAATCAGATATAGCAAGCAGGCTAAACAAAAAATTGTCTCAATTTTAGAACATTTTTGGCTCATGTCATTCCTTGTCCTGTCTATTTTCTATTTTTGCACTTTGAATCATTAATAACTTCACCAATTCATTGTGAATCTTTTGGGAGATATTGTATTTGATATTGTAAGGAATAGATTGGTAAGTCAATTATAAAAGTTGCTTGTAATTTTGTCACCCCTATAGATCTGATTCTGCCTTTAAGCGTATACATGATATGCAGCTTTTAACACCTAAGTCCAAGAAATGAGCGATATCTCTGATACAGGGTGTCCAAAAAACAGGACCATAAGAAAGTCGAATAATTCGGTAAATTTTGCATATTTTGCCTTGAAATTTTAGAATTATTTAGTTCATTCAATGTGAATTTTGTTCTGGAAGTTTGATGATAATCTGTTAATTGTGTCAAAAACTACAATACTTTACAAAACAAGCTCAAAGTGGGCATTGCTCCTCTCTATACACAAACGAATACTGTGAAATAAGTCGTTAGTGACCCTAACCTATACACATCAATGTGGATGGTATATATTGGGGTAGCTATTGCTCTCTTATGAGATTGTCAGGGGCCTGTCAGTGTTCCCCTTCGCTTTGAGAAATCCCCAAAGATAAAAATCTGGGGGATTTAGATCTGGCGAACGAGCTGCCCATATGGTTTGCGTTTTGCGACTGATGAGCTGACCACCAAAGCATTCCAATTTCAGCATATCATTTGCAGTGTTAGGGTGGTATTGGCTTGATGAAACCATTGCTTATCTCCTTAGATGTCCCTTCTGGTGCTTAGTGACCTCCAAAGCTTAGCGAGAACTTACTGGTCATTGTTCATGGTGAAAGCACGTCCCCAGTCACCTTCGAGCCAGAAAGGACTGATGATTCCATGTTTCCTCATTGCCACCCAGGCAATGCATTGTTCAGAATGCAATGAGTGCGCCGGTAACATTTCATCAGAAGGATGTTCAGGGCCGTCAGATGGGGGGGTGCGATGGGTGCGACCGCACCCCCCTTTGTCACCCCCCAAAATAGATTTGAAAAAAAAATTTGAAAAAAATTTTTTTTTTTGAAAAATATTTTTTTTGTAATTTTTTTTCATTGATTCATACACTTTAAAAGTACCCAGAAAGCACCAAATAGCATCTTAAAATTTTCTAGGGGTATTGGCCACCCCTCACATCCACCACAAAACAATGGAAAAGTTCTTAATTTATTTTAGAGTTTTGTCCCAGACACTTTTAAAATGCCCAGATATCATCAAATAGCTCCTTGATATAGTTAGTGTTTCTGGAGGACTTACTCCACATCTTGCACTTGCATACCCCCCCCCCCCCCCCCCTCTGACGCCCCCCCCCCTTGACCCCCCCCCCAAAAAAAAGGTGATTTTCTCAAATTCTTTAATCGACTCATACACTTTGGAAGTGCCCAGAAAGCACCAAATAGCGTCGTAAAATTGTAAAATTTTCTAGGAGGAGTGGGCCACCCTTCACACCCCAAACAAATCAATGGAAAAGTTCTGAATTTGTTTTATGTATTGTCTCAGACACTTTTAAATTGCCCAGACATCATCAAATAGCTCCTTGATAAAGTTATGATTCTGGAAGACGAACACCTACTCGCCCTCTGGCATCCTCACTCCACCTCCCCTTTTGGCACTCCACCTCCACCTTCCCTTAACACCCCCCCCCCCCAAAAAAAAATTGAGATTTTTTTTTTTTTTATTGACTCATACCCTTTGAAAGTGCCCAGAAAGCAACAAATAGCATCTTAAAATTGTAAAATTTTCTTGGGAAATAGGCACTTTTAGACACAGACACTTTTAAAGTGCCCAAACTTCATCGAATAGCACCTTGATATTGTAAATTTTGACATGGGGGACAAACACTTGCTCCCCCTCTGGCACCCCAGCCCAACCTTCCCCTCTGGCACCCCTCCCCCCTTTTGACACCCCCAAAATTTGAAAAAAATTGTGATTGTTTTTCAATGTTTTTATTGACTAATACACTTTGAAAGTGCCCAGAAGCACCAAATATCATCTTTAAATTGTAAATTTTTCTAGGAGAGTTAGCCACCCCTCACATCCCCCACAAAACAAAAGAAAATATTCTGAATTTCATGTATTGTCTCAGACATTTTTTAAGTGCCCAGACATCATCAAATAGCACCTTGATATGGTCAATCTTTCTGGGGGACAACCCCTTGCTCCCCTACTGGCACCACACCCCACTTCACCCTCTCATCCTCTTTGACACCCCCAAGAATTTGAAAAAAATCACATTTTTCTTATTGACTCATAACGCACAGGCGTACCAGATGGTTGCAAATTCGCTCCAAATACAACCAAATTTCAAAATTTTCCTGGGGGAGAACCCCCCGACCCCCCTGAATGCTCGTTTTTTTATTCACTCAACTCTTATTCCCGTGGTGGTGGCGTACTACTTAGAAACTTACACTTTGAAAGTGCCCAGAAAGCACCAAATAGCATCTCAAAACTGTAAAATTTTCTAGGGGGAGTGGACCACTCCTCACACCCCCACAAAACATCTGGAACGTTAGGAAGTTGCATGCATTTGTTAATTCCAAACAAATATAGGGAGTAACTGACCCCCCCCCCCCCCTCTGTCTTACGCGATTTGATTTACGCGGCAAAAAAATGACAATTTTATATTCTCTTTAGTAAGCTGAAAACCGCACCCCCCTTGGAGAAAAGTGTCTTACGGGCCTGATGTTAGTCCCAGTTTCAATTGTTAACGTATACATAAAAATATTGGGTGAGACTTGAGATAATGTATGCGGCGCCAGTCAAAATTGAAACTTCTGATTGGGTTCGAAGCCGAGATGCCCGGATATGTCCCAGCAAAAGCCGGAATTCACGTGATTTTTCACGAAGAAGGGGCGGAGTTTAAGCGAGATTCATCGAGACTTCTTCGTGTCAATCGTGTCAATCCCTGCATTGCTTATTGTTAACTCCACCTTTTTGCCCATATATGGAGTTGGAGATGCCACTTGCGAGCGTGAACAGTTCAGTCTAGTTCTTGGAATAAATATATGTGTGGAGGAAGATCATCAACAACTTTGTTCACCGGATTGAATTGTGCACAGAGAGAAGTGCACATTTGGGGCACGTTTTGTAAGGAACTGTAGATTTTGACTCATACTCCAGTAAAACCGTTGTAAATATTCAGAATAAATGAAAAAATTGCAATACAGAGTAAACCTAGTGTAATCAATAGCCATTGGTATGTTAAACAACATATCAAAAATCTAAAAAAAAATCTAAGTGGTGGACAACCTTAAAATCACCATTTATACCCCTTGGGGTAATTTTATGAGGGGGTACTATTATAATCATTAATAATTTCTGTTTTATAACTCCAATCACTATAAAATGTTCAGGGATCATGCATCTATGTATAGTGATTTTTCACAAGAATTTTGACATTAATTGGTCAATTGGTTACCATAGCAACACCATTTAATTGCTCAAAATCTTTAATATTTCAGGTAAATCTGAAGCTTCTTATATAACAGATGTTCCCATTTCTCTTCAAATCATTTGAAAATGAACATTAATGTACCCTAAAAACATATTTGGGGAGTGTTTAATAGTATTATATCTTTGACTCTGGACTCTATTCTATTATGTGACTACCTCTCTATCTACTCAAATGTGGGCGTGGCACTTTTCAGTGATAATTTGCTAAAACGGTTATTTTTACAAAATCAGTCAAAGTTATATTTATAAATAAACAATTTGTTAAGGAACAAGGAATACCTGAAATGACCTCTACCAACGATTTACATATATTATGTTTTGTTACTATGGCAACCAATTGACAAAAGATGATTAGACTCATCATACCAGAAAATAACTTTTGTATTAATTACCCTTGTTAATATGATTCTGTCAACATGAAATTATTTGGAACAAAAAGTGCCACGCCCACTTTGTGGTAAATTGAGCAGTAGTTATCAAACATGCGCCAAATATGTCATCCTATTTATCAATTTATCATGTTGTTGTAAACTCCTTCAATATGTACCAAGCTCAACTTTGTGTCCATTTTGTAAAATTAAGAATGACAACCTATCATCTGTTTGTAGGGGAACAGTAGATTTATCCTTAATATTTACAATATTTTGCAATTAAATTGTATTGTCATGGTAACCAATTGACCAATCAAGATCAAACTTTGCATGAGAACTAACTATATATGGATGCATAATCCCTGAAAATTTGAATTGTGATTAGGGGCACCCAACAGAAAATATAAATGCTTATCATAGTACCCCTCATAAAAGACCAGGGGGTACAAATAGTGAATTTTACATGTTTTCCACTACTTAGATTTTTCTAGATTTTTGATATGTCTTTAAACTCACCAATATGCATTTGTTGCACTAGGTTTAATAAGTATTGCAATTTTTTCATTTATTTTTGATGTTTTTACTGGAGTATCAACTGGCAGATTATTATCAAACTTTCACAACAAAATTCACATTGAATGAACTAAATAATTCTTTTTACGGCCCTGTTTTTTGGATACCCTGTATAAGATAAATTAAATTAGCGGCGTTGAAATTCAATATTGGAGAGGTTAAGCTTGGCATATATAATCGAAACTGAACCTGTACGTATCACTCGACCATATACAAATTCATGTAGCCTTCTCATATAAATAGCCGTTCAAATCCAGTGTTTGTTTAGACTACACCATAGCGTGTAATGATTCTATAGTATGTCATTGATGCGGTTTTATAGCTGGTTTTCTAATACATATTTTAAACGAGCTCGTTTCGTAAGATTTTTGGCGCTAAATCATGCATGACATACATCATCGTGTTCAGCAAGAATTCAACTGTGCATCGAAATCAAAATTGACACCATAGTGTTCAATAGACACGAGTAAAATGGTTCCCGTTGACCCAACGTCAAATTTCAAATCTCCCGTTCTAAACCCGAAACTCTGAAGCTGAAAGAGTATCTGAAGTAGACTAAGCGCGCATAAAACTATGAGCGCTCGATACATTCCTTTGTTAATTTTTGTACTTTGCGTTCACGGTTACGTTGTGAAAAACATCGTTAGCTTAACCTCTCTATTATGTGATTGTGATTGAAACGTTATTTACGTTTGATACGCGTAATTAACAACTACACACGCATAAACAAACGTGAGTATTCATCGGGTTGGTTCATCGTTGTAAGCCACGCCCTCTCCATCTGTATCCTTCTGCGATGCAACAGAGAGAGAGAGAGATGCTATGAGTATCAAAATGGAGTTGATTCGCTAGCCATACATACACATGACATATAAGGGAGTTTATATTAAAAATCCACACGATATCACGAGGGTTAGTGTATATTCATCCGAACATTACCTATACACATAGGGGCATTGCTGATATGTTATCATTTAAAATAATTACTACAACGCTGCATTTTATTTACACTTGGATTTGTATCGATCATTTTACGCTACATTTTCAAAACATTTCAAATTCAAATAGTGTTTTGTATAATATATTTTGAATATAAAATATTCGTTTTTCTTCACTCTTCAGCAAAAACAAAAAATGACAATATTTTTAATTTTCAAATTTTATATTTCTTAACTCATTAAAAAGAGCGACAATTTTTGGATATATGACATATTACATCACTAACCAGGCCTCATTATACGGTTAGCTTCTTCTGCTGCTGTATCTCAGCATACATTAGTAGCACATTGAGACAAGTAGCAAACAGTGCCATGATGGCAGATATAGCAAATGACCATCTTGTACAAAGCTGACCATAACATCCTGTGGATCCCGGCGGACTGTTTGATTCATAAATTACACCAAACAATTTTTGAAAAGCTACTGTCCCAATACCATTTGCAATAATAGTTAAACCGTAGTTTTGTCCAAAATATTTGCCACCAAATAGCTCAATGAGAACTATTGGAA